ACTGCAAAAGTACATGTTAAAGCGGTTGACCTTTTTTCTCGCTTATTTTCTTCGCGCTTTAAGTATTGACCTAAATTTTCTTTGCGTTGTACCAAATCCTGTAAATTGGTGCGCCAAATCATGAAAGCGCTCACGTGTTTATGTTCGACAATGTTCTAAAATGTGTGAACGCTTAAATAACTTCGTTTACAGTATAACACAGAGAATGGTGAATTACGTGTATAATCAATAAACACCTCTATCACTACACCTACACAACCAAGGAAAAGATAACCCAAATTACTGGTATACATATTGCTTTATAACGTACCCTCCCTCTACAAATTACTGGTATACATATTGCTTTATAACCTACCCTTCCTCTACAAACCAACATATCACAGCAAACCAATATTCCTATACTAACATATTCTGTTTACAAGGACTAGGACAAATGTCACTTCATTACAAAGATACAGTATAAAATGTATATTTTACATTCTATTGGAAAATGTTGAAAACACTTGTGTGATCTACCGTCACTTGAAAAAATAATGTTCAAAAAGGGACATCGAACAAATCAGATGACAAGGTGAACATTTATGTCCAAGATAGAGAAACCAACAAATTGATTCGAAAAACGGCGGTCAAAACAATAATTCTAAGTGTCAAAAACAATAGTTCCAAATGGTTCAAAACAATATTTCAAGGATCAACACGATATTCAAAGGATCTAAACACTAGCTGCATGGTCAAAACAACAGTTATAGGGTCAAAATAATGAATTTTGAGTGGTCAAAACAATAGTTAAAAGGTAAAAATAATAGAAACACGGTTAAAACAACAGTTATATGGTTTAAAAATGGGTACAGGGTCAAAACAATAGTTACAGGGTCAACACAATAGTAATACGGTCAAAACAATAGTTCTAGGGTCACATCAATAATTACAGGATATTTTTTTTTAGATCTGTAGGCAAAACAAGGGTAACTGGGCATAACAAATAGTTCAAGGATCAAAACAATGGTTACAGGGTCAAAACAACTGTTACAGGAACTAAACAATGGTTACAGGGTCAAAACAAATAGTTATAGGGTCCAAACAATGGTTAAAGGGTCAAAACAAATAGTTCCATGATCAAAACAATGGTTACAGGGTCAAAACAACTGTTACAGGAACTAAACAATGGTTACAGGGTCAAAACAAATAGTTATAGGGTCCAAACAATGATTAAAGGGTCATAACAAATAGTTCCAGTGTCGAAACAATGGTTACAGGCTCAAAACAACTGTTACATGAACCAAACAATGGTTCTAGTGTCCAAACAATGGTTCTAAGGTTCAAACAATAGTTATAGGGTTAACACAATAGTTATAGGGTCCAAAGAATTGTTAAATGGATACAGCGTCCAAACAATAGTTCCAGTATCAAAACAATGATTACAGAGTTAACACAAATAGTTCTAGTGTCCAAACAATAGTTCTAAGGCCAAAACAATAGTTCTAGGGTCAAATAAATAGTTCTAGGGTCCAAAGAATAGTTCTAGGGTAAAAACATTTGTGTCACGGTCAAAGTTATAGTTCCAGAGCATTAACATCAGTTTAGAGTAGTATGACAGAAATCAAATGATGACTTTTTTTTTCATTTTTACACAAAATAGCATCTTTAGTATAATACCTTTAGATGATATTGAAAACGTGGATGTCTGATGTCATAGTGTATATTTCTTTATTTTGCAGGTTGGTTAGTGGACTATACCCATTACTGAAATATTCAACGTTATAGACAACTCGTCACGTGACACACATACAGCACATTGATTCACGAGAAAGGAAAATGCAGCGGGGAGGAAATGTTTGTAACACATGACGGATATTCGAGGAGAAGCGTAAAGAAAAAAATTACGACGCATGACAGCTACATGGACGCAAACAGTGTATAGGAACAAAGATAGGTTCTTCTTACTGCAAACTAGTGAATGTGACTGTGTCTTAGCCACGATATTGAGAACCAGTTATGTCAACTTATAAAGGACGGACTGATTCGTCCACAATCTGTATTCAGTAACCGTCAAACCCCTCGACCAATCATGTCCACTTTGACAGTTCAAATCCCAGCGGTGTTATTGGTTCGCGTCCTTCTCAAAGCTAATTAGTAAATTAATTTACAAACTCGTTCAGCGAAACGTCTTGTGGTATCGAGTATCCCCGTCATGTTCTATGGATATAGAAGGCTTATAGTGTACACTGTCCTCGGCAAATGTGTAGATATATATCTATAGATATATATACGGATCTTTAGAAATAGGGCAAATCCACTCTTTCCTAAACTGGATATCACTAATATTTAGTCGAGACACGCGTACGTGAATACGGAACGAGAACACAAGTGCCCACACAACGTTCAAAACCACACCAGATTGACAGATTCACCGGAGGTGGCAATTCTATTTTTTTAGAAGTGATTTTGATATGAGGTTAAATTTGTACAACAAATGAATCTGTTGACGTTATTCTAGATCTTCAAGTGGTCACGTCGGCAGTGAAAGCGCTTCAACCTGTGATATAACGAAGGGCTAATCAGACGCCACTTCTTGCTTTGACAAAAGCCGCTTTGCCTTGAAGCTCTTTAGTGTGTAGACGGTTTCTTCACAACGTTCTGGAAACACCTTATGGAATATAGTCTGTTTTTGTACAAGGTTCTAGCAACGCACGTGCACTAATAATGCTGGACAGTTTCTGACTATTCTTTTCTGCTCTGTTGTTACTGTTCGTTCCATCGATAAGGACAGTTGTATGACCTGCTTCCTTCTTTGCGAATGTTATGGTTAGCTACAGTCAAGGCTGTTCGGAAAGACTTATCAGTTAGATACACGCAGTTTTATTATTCCACTGACGTGTATGTTTTATGCTTTATCGTTATCTAAACGCGAGGTACTCTGTGGTTTTATGTAATATGAAAATGTAAGTTGATTGTAATTGGAGGTGACGGAGACCAGCGTTTTTATACTTTGTTTAAGGCTAATCTGAAATTCAAAACCTTAGGCGGATCGTTTATCGAGATGTAACGCCGCTTGGATTTGGTACATGAAGGGTAAATAATCCTGATGACGTCTTATGTCATATTTGTGTCTGAAATGCCAGACCTCACCAGCGTGCTGTGTTGTCAGATTTATTATGTCAATTCAACTCACGTATCAACTGTCAAGTAGCCCTGTCTGCTTTCACTCTTACGTGTATACCGATACAGCGAACTAGACTCATGTTCACAAACATTTATATAGACCTCAATACTTCACTGAGACCTCCTACTAAAGTATATCCTATATATCAAAACAGTTATGACCATTTGATGGACTACGTTCTCCTGCAGAGACATTAAACTTATGAAATCTAGAGAAACGTTAGTTTTCTCACTAGAGGAAATAGATCGGATGTAATGTTCGGTGTCTTGCGCTCACCTGCTTCGGAACCACAGAACCTGTCAGGAAGCTGGGTGTTTTGTTAAGCCATGCGTATGATTGATTAGACAGAAAACTCTTTGGAATTTGTTCAAAATATCTGTACGAGCAGTTTTGTACTGAAACTCTAGCTCAGGTGAAAACATACGATATGTATAGATGAAAGACGGAATGAAAATAAGACTCTTGTAAAACAGAAACTTAAACATCATTATAAAGATAAAGAGAAAAAAAACACTGAGCATGTGGACCCCCAGGCATTCACTTCGTCACTCAGAAGGAATTTTGTAATTTGAAAACAATAATTGGAATTGCATCATTAAGATTATTATTGACATTATACTTTATGAACGGATACTCACCAAATCACCTACGTCGCTTTAAAGGATTTATGGAAGGTTGGATATCATAAGATAGAGGGCGCTGGGAGTTACACTGACCGTATGGACACCCAGGAATTCGTCTACTTTGCGCAGGAGGACTTCTGCGAACTGTACCTGGAGCTAGACTGTTTCCACTGGCATTGGCAGAGGCGCGTTCGTCATGTTCACCGCTAATCTGTGTATTAATTAAAACACTACCGCGATAAGCCAGTATCGTTTAAGGAACATTATTGACGTTTGAAGAAGTATTACGTTATATTGATATACAATCTATATAGTGTTTTAACAAAAGATAAATATCTTCAGCGATTACAGAAGCCAAACGCGAGAACGTGTTTTTGTCTTAAATTATCTAGATACGGATTAGGTCGTTATATAAATATATAAAAATATACCTTGCAAATAGATATACCGATATATGTTTTATTGTTAGTGTATTACATGTAAGGAACGACTTGAGCTTAATATTGTATTACAAATACGATCGTTCACTTCGACTTACATAGTAAGATATTAAGGGAAAGTCACGGAAATAGACGAATTAGCAATCAATCATTTTCTTACAGCCCCAAACACTATATAGCAAAGTCAATGTGTCACCGAAATGCTTGTTAATTTAAAAAGGACCACAAAGCCTTCTGTTTAGAGTTGCGGTACATCTTGATGCGATCTCCATCTAAGTAGTGATATACGCACGGACACAGCACCGCTAACTGAAATAATAATACTAACAGATCAGCAGGACGGGTAATTAACACGTGACTCTGGCGGGTTATGTAATACAAACGGAAGTGTTATGCATGGTTAAATCACGGAAAGATTTGAATGTCGATGTGGAATGTACCTTTATGTGTTTGATCACTGCATTCTAGATAATCCCTGGAGGGGAAGTGTTGAATTAATAGATACCTTACACAGCGATCTAACAGCAACTAAAAAATACGGAAATAGACTTACGGAAATCCGTATTCATCATTAGTGTATTGCAAACCGTTCTAACATATGAAGGAACACCAACCTGAACAGTATATTAGATCAGAGTGTAGACACCAATTACCGTAAAAGGAATCAGATATGATTTGTGTAAAATCGACAGTTAATATCTACGGAAGTATACAGTGATAGTGTATGAACAAAGGCAATACATCCGGAGATATATTGTATCTGTGTATTAGTGATTTAATACTCGTCCAGTTATATTACAGCTGACGGGCACATTGGCCACTTGTCGGATCTGGTGGTGGTAATTACCACTGTCCGTTTCTAAATCTAGCGATTTAATCCACAGTGCTGTTGGGATGTAAATGTTATGACAGCGATACCTAGCAGACAGACCAGGGCGATAGCCGTGCATAGGGTCGTTACCGATAATCACTATTGTCGCGCACCTGTTGGTGGTGCTGGCTATTGGAACGGTAGCTACGAGAGCTGTCTCATGATATAGAAGCCTGCTGATACGACGGGCACGCGCTCACGAGCTACTGGTGTGTGGTGATACAGCCCACAGTGGGTATAACGGATCTCAGCGCCTGTGTATAGGCAGTGCTATACAGTGAGCAAGAGAAGACGATTCGCCGTCACTGGGTTGACGGTTCTCATACGTTGGGCGGTGTATCGGACGGGAGCCGTGTATAAGATATACACGCGCGCGCTGTAGAGAAGGTTGTGATTCCGATGCTGGATCGCGCGGGAGTTGTCAGTGTGTAATAAAGTGGCATGTCACATACTCGTTACGTAGTCGGTGACACAACTGACACGGTAAGGGGTATCCACTTGAAACTTTGTTTGTAGACATTAAATCAACAGGCATCGCTTAAGCAATACTCGTCAACAGCGCTAAATAGCGCAATGTCACATCAACTGTAACGATACAGATTAATGCATGGCTGAGGCAAATTGTCGACGGTAGAATTATCAGATAACTGTTAAAAAATGAAATAAATGCAGCAATTGTTCGACATTGGATAGATTAAAAAAACCTTCGACGAAATCAGAGTTTATAGAGTGTAGAAATAAAGGACTGAACCAATCCGTCATCATGCTTAACAGCACCTTGTCTCGAGGTGGCGTGGATAGGGGTTCGATACAGGATTACAATGTAGGAGGTAATGGCGGACCAAACCTAACCAACATTAACACAGAGGATTTTATTATACAGAATACAACGAATTTTCCATTACATAGTGAAACGACCGATTTCAGTTATTCGGATTTTTGGCCTTTTATATCGTGTGAAGATAACGATACGGTAGGCTGCAACGAGTCCTTACGTTTGACTAACATATCCATGCTGAATGAGACTGGGTCCTTCAATGGCACCCTGGCGGAGGAGGGGCTGGAGTACCGGTACTGGACCTTATTTCTCCTCACGTTTCCGTTTTTCACGGTGTTTGGAAACGTTCTCGTTGTGATGAGTGTGTATCGCGAACGGAGTCTGCGCACTGCCACCAACTACTTCATCTGCTCCCTGGCTGTAGCGGATATCATGGTTGCCGTCATGGTGATGCCTCTAGCTGTGTACATGGAGGTAAGTCATTCGAACCAACGACCCAACGACATACCATAAATAAATGTTTTAATGAATATTTATGCGTGCTTAGACGTCCTTGTATGCATTCTTTACACAGTTGACGCCATCTCTACTCTCGCTCCCCCGATATATCATAGAAGTATGTTCTATATCAGTTGTTTCGTAGCAGTTCGGGTCATTTAAAAATCAGTTAAGCTCGGCTATTAATCTACTTTCCTTTTCACGAAAACAGAAATACATATATTAAGTGAATTACATTTGAAGTCATTCGGGTCAAGGAACCTAAAACGGTGATTTCCTTCGGTGTCATCGAGATATCTTTCTGTAATCCCAAATACTGCAGTGTATCTGTTTTGATTTGGTTTGGTTTAGTTTAACGTCCTATCAACAGCTATGGTCATTTAAGGACGGCCTCCAGTTCTTTAGTATAAAGGTACTATGACAAGAACATCATTTGTAAGGTTATCGGTGTTATTTCAACTGTACCAGTAAACGTATAGCGTACAAACGTATGTAAACAACTTCTACGGTATTTGATATTTTCTTCACAAGATTTATTATCTTAATTCAAAAATACCAAAACTACCTTCTTAATTATTCATCATTACCATATTAAGATATTCAATTTTGTTTGAATAAAGAGTTTTTGACATATTACCTGTAATTCTAACTATATCACTAGAAAGATATTGGCTGGTTGCAAAGGCCCTATAACCACGGATAATAATTTGTGAACCGCTTTGAGACGACCCACGAACTAGGTTGTGATAAAGCGGTTTATAAGAACTAATTGTATTTATAAATATCATGCTATTACAATACTTGAGACCTACATTTATCTGTTATACCCCTTTCGAACATTTAATATTACATTTTTATTTTCATTTTTCTCATATGGCCTTGTTTGACCGGGTAATGTGGAAAGCAATTTACTATGATGTTTGTTTTTGCGTGGTAATAAATATAATCCGGTGAAAGTGCTCCATGTATCGCTCTACCAAGTACATATGAGTGTAATGTTTGTTAGAGACTCGCCTATTGGTTATATTAACGTATCGTTTTTGACTTATTGTAAGTCCGTGTGATGACAAGTTTATAATAATAGAAAAAAAAAAGTTTTCAACTTAACAGTCTGTCTTACTACTTATTCCGTTGGTGTAATGTGTACACTTACCACTGGCATTAACAGTCGACACCGTTATGAAGACAACGATCAAAGACCCTGTCTATAAGAACGTGGTCTTTTTGTACGTCTTTATTAAGATCAACAATGAACACAGTCTGAAATACATAAATGAGAAATACTCAGATATTTACCAAACGATGTGTTGTTCCGCTGATAAACATAATTAACATTGGACACGAGACAAAAGAATAATTGACACAGTCCATTAATGAACAATAAGTAAATGTAGTCAATGTAGTAACATAATAACTGAGTATCAATGATTACTTACAAATAATATGCCTTAAACAGGCTAATGTAAGTGTTTCCTCAAATGACTCCATTTGTATTACAAATGGAGAGTTTCCATCCAAGGGGAGTAACTCTGAAATGCCTCGACTAAAAAGGGAAGTAACTATGTAATTATCATTGTCAATAAACAATAATCATGTACTGTCAAGTAGGATAATGGTGCATTTTTAAACAAAGTTTTAGACTCGCAAGATCTAAATACTCCACAGCGTTGACACAAAGTGACCATATATACAAGAGCAACACAACGCAATGAAAAATATACCACAGTACCCATACGGACGTATAAACTACAACGTCAACACAATGACAAAATACACCCACAGCTTTCACAAGAACATATGTATTACAACATCAAATATACCACAGCACCCATACGGACAGATATACTACAACGTCAACACAATGACAAAATACACCC